GGCCCGTAAATCCGGTATAATTTATATTTTTCACTTTTTCATAATTTTAACCAGGGTCATATTAGACCCGTCTTATCATGTTTTTAAATTTTTCTCATGGTGAAATTTTACAGTTCCGTTATTTTTTTTTTTTCAGACCGATCGGTCTAGTCAGTAGACCGATCGGTTCGGAACGGACGTTCCGTCTCGTCAGACCGGATGGTATCCGACGTGGCGTCTGACGTGGTGCGCCACGTCGGATCGGTCAACTCGTTTTTTTGACCAAATAAAGCTATGGACAAATATGGAACCGTTTAACAAATTCAGGATTTAACGTGTCCAATTTTGCAAGTTTGGGAATTAATAGGCACCTCTATAAGATTAGGAATTAATATTACTCCGAAATATAAATTTAGGAATTTTTAGGATTTTTTCCCCTTTTTTTACTATATCTCTTTAATTTTAGAAATAAATAACCAAATATCCATATATATATATAAATACATAAACTCGGGGCATCAGTGTCAATGTCCTATACAGAATAATGACGTGAAATTTAACAGGTTTCATGGACTGAAAATCTTATGACATGACATGTAAAAATACATAGATTTTAAAATATTTTACATAACCCCACACGAATTTGTATACAAATACATGAACTTTGAAAATTTTGGCATAAACCCACACATTTTAGAGAAAATTTTCAAAATTGGTTTATTTTTCATACGAAATTAAAAGTTCATATATTTATTAACCAACTTTGAAAAGTTCATATTTGTTGGGCGATTGATCCCAAAACAAGACTATCAAACACCGCATTGGCCACCAGGACCACCATATGCAAATATCGGTCCAAACTCCTTAATCTCGACACCAAAGTATTTCAATTTGAAGCAAGTATCGCTATCGGTATATTTTGTCATTTTATTACCATCGATATCAATGGGCGCGGAACCTTCCAAAATGAGAGAGTTTCGTCTGAAGTTTGCGCACTTGGATATGTCGACGTTCGGGAAATTCCCGTCTCCCATTTGCGGACTGATTCCGTCCGGAGAAACGTACGTATTGCCGCCGTACCGAACCCGGGTGGCTCCGACATCCATCGAGGGTACGATCTCCCTCGGCCAATACCCGACGTTCTTATAATCGTGATACAACAGCCAATTTTTTGTGGTCGGATCCTATCAAGTTACATAAAATGACGGAGAAGTTTAGCATTTGAATCATGTACAAAACCAATATAACCATTTCAATGAAAACTGTAGTTATTAGGTTTACCTTGGTAATGAGTATGGTGGCGTAAACCGGTGTCACGCCATACTGTGATATTTGGGGATACGGCTTTCCGGGGAATATATAGGAACTTGTTTGTACAAAACCCGGACACACGACATTGTAGCAACCGGTGCTTTTGTATCCGTCTCCCTGATAATGATAATCACATTAGCATTAAATGTTTTTTTAAACGAGAATAATTATGTCGATCGAAATATTTTGACATGGAAATTGATGCGAATAAGTCTGTTTAATTTAGTAAAACTAAATAATTGGACTATACTTACAGTCCAATATGTAGTGAACCGTGGACGAGAGTCTCCGTATATTCTCGGGTGTACCTAAAATGGAAACGACGAATATAAAATGTTACAAATTTTTTTTAAAAAAATAGAATATTATAAAATTATGAAATTCAAATGTTATAAATAGGTGAGAGAATCTTACAGCCCAACCGGCTTGGAGACTGGTGGGCCCATTTTCGACCCAAATCTGAGCTTTGCTGTATTGGTTTAGTTTTACATGTGGAGACTGGATGCTAATCTCAGCCACGGCTCCCACGTAGACACTGCCGTCGTTCTTGGTCTCAATGGTCGCAAACTATATAACATGAAACATGAAATTGTTATTGATTTTAAAACCCAAGGAAATTTTATTTTGAAAAAACAAATTAAGCATCTTAATTTAATATCATGGTTTTGATTCTCTTTTCTTCCGTTGTAAAATGCCAAAACAATCTTCTTCTTGTTTCTTTTGTGATTCTTAATTATTAAAATTTGTACAAAAAAACTTACACAATATATAAAGCTCCGACATTTAAATAAATATCTAAGAATGATATTAAAGTGAAAAAGTAGACAGAGATTGGATAAATGCTTATTGGTTTTGTGAAGAAGGAAAATTGTAGAAAAGGAAATAAAAAAATGACTACAAATATGAATAAATATATATAAATTTGGCAAATAAATATCACGATTAAAAAAAAACGTAAAATTAAAACTTACATGTTGACCGGGGAATTTATCATCCATTAGATAAAGGCTCGCGGTCTCGTTGTTGCGTTTCGGTATTGGTACCATACCATTTGGACAGGGTTCATCCGATTCATCGAACGATAAGTTAGAAAAAATTTTCGGAAATTGTTTTTCCAACATTTTCTCCAGTTCCACGCTTGGTCTCATCTGGAAAAAAAAAACATAAAACAAGAATTTAAAATTATAAAACACATGAATATTTATTTTATTAAATCTAAAATCTAGAAAAAAAAATTACCTGAATTTTGTGATTCTTTAGCGATGGGTGTTGGAAAGCTGGCTGTCGGCTAATGTCAACGCATTCGAATTCATATGTAGTCTCCTGCAGTGAAACAAATTGGGCTTTGAGAAAAAAAAAATTAATTTCAAAAATAAAAACTATCACTGTAAAAAATTATAATGAAATACCTCACACATTCCGCAAATTACATGAGAGAAAACCAGAAATGCCAAGGAAATAGCTAAGCGACAAAACGCCATGTCTATATGTATGTGCCTTTGTCTTCTTATAACATAGAGGTATATATATATATATACACACACGATGTCTGGTCAAAAGTCAATCTTGGTATAAATGCACAATCTTGCATGAATACGATTAAAAATCACACCAATTTAGTCATTATTGTTTCATATATATTAAAAAAGGTAAGTTTTAATTTATTACTAATAGATTGAGATTCTTTAATTTGATTGGTCGTAACGTATTCTATAATAGATTTCGAATACGCCACACCAATTAAGTTTTATTTACAAGTAGATTGAAATTCTTTAACCTTACAATTGGTCGTAATGTATTTATGATTATAATTTATATTTGTAATGCGTCAGTTTCTTATCGTGTTTGGGGTTTTATGGTTGAAAAAAAAAGACTACCAATTTTGGAAGAAAGCATTCCAATCTCCGTTTTTGGAAATGATTTGGTATTTCGGGTAATAGATTTTTTTATCAGCTTATTGAATTTTCTATTAATTATATTCTTCGTAACTTTAAGAAAAAAACACAAAAATCCTTGGTTGTAAATATCTGGTTAACATTTAAATTATCTAAAAATCTAGTTAAATCTCCATTTTTTTGTAACAACATTTATAAAAACCCTTAACTTAGAAAATCCAATCAAATCTCCATTTACCCATAAGTAAAAACATTACAATTTTATAAAACCGCCTTAAAGTAATATATTTTTCTGAAATTAACATATCATAAATATAACACATTATAAATATAATCATATTATGATATACAGGTTATCATTATCTAAACATATATAGTTGATAGGGTAACTATGTAATAGTTTTATAATATGATTATCAAATTAAAAACTTGTCTATAAATAAATTCAAGTGAATTTTTATATTTATACGAATATAAAACTGTTATTGCATTTATTATTTCACAATTTCAAGCTTGTTTATAACACATATAACTAAAATAATAATTTTTTAATTACAATGTATATATTTTAAATTCATTTTAAATAGATAAATTAATAAAAAAAAATATAGTTTTAAAAGATTTGTATAAAATTATCGTTTTATTTGGATTTTAGATTGTTGAAGTTTTAGAATGATATTTTTTAAAAGTAAATAATATTTTTAATATTAAGTTTTATTTAAAATTTGTGGACGATTTTGTTTAAGGTGGATATTTTTTAAAAACTTGAGAGATTATTTTAGGTGTTTTTCTCTTTTTAATCTGAAAAAAGATTTCAAAATTCTGAAAAATTAAAAAGTTAGGATTTCTGATTTGTATATCTTTGGTGTCAAAATGCTCTCGTTAGCTTATTTAATCAGTAAAGAATGAAACAAATCAAAATATAAGTGAACTTTTACAAAAATGTTAAATAAATATATATACTAGAAAACATATAAAACCTGAATTTTAAAAAAATTATACATATATATCTTGGCCTTTGAAAATTTTCAAAATAAATCCAACGTTCATTTATTTTAATTTAATTTATTTTTAATTATTTAGTATTTACTTTTATATTTCAATTTTTCAATTTTCAATTTTATTCTTTTATATTTTTATTTTATTTAAGATGTCAAAAAAGGCCACATGGCGATGAGATAGAAAAATCGGTGGAACAAATCGGCCAGTATCGTTCAATAGAAAACGTTAGTCATTTAAATTATTAGAGTTTGTGTAAAAAAATTGATAGAAAATTGTATATTGGTATATTTTTTTATAAGATAAAAAATTCAATAAAATCTGAACAAATTTATTTATTTATTTGAATTATGTAATTTAAATAGTAATTTCTTATTGTGCATTAATTCATAGTGTTGTGAGATTAAAAAAAAAAAACACTTTCTCTCTATATTTCTTTCTCTAAATAATGGAAGAATGAGGCTTACGATGGGAGATGAGAAGACCAAATGCGTATTCATGTTTAAGCTCAAGTTCTTTAATCATACGCAAATTGGCATTTGGTCGGAGATTCTGTGGTCATTTAATTCAAGAACAACGAGCTCTTGTACCATTGCTCGATCGTTCGAATTTAGATTCATACGTTTCGTCGGTGATTGAGTGCATAACCTCTTGCGTTTCGATTTCATGGTGCCGTGCATTTCATGGTGCAGTGCTCAAGTCCGTGAATTATAGCCATGGATTCGTCGGGGACCATTTGGTTTCGTGTTACATGAGACTGGAGTACGATGAAGATGCAGAGAAGCTGTTCGATGAAATGCCTGACAGAGATTTGGTCTCATGGAACTCTTTGATTTCGAGGTATTCGGAAAGAAGGTGGTTGTCTAAATGCCTTAAGGCTTTATGTAGGATGAGATCTCAAGTGGGTTTGAGACCAGATGGAGTTACATTCATGTCGATGATCTCGGCGTGTATTCATGGAAGAGGTCTGCATGAAGGGCATTGCCTTCACGGGTTAGTGATGAAATCCGGTGTACTGGCCGATGTGAAAGTTGTTAATGCTCTTATCAATTTTTATGGAAAAGCTAGGGACTTGGATTCAGCCTGTAAATTGTTCAAGGTTATGATCAAGAAGAATTTGGTTTCCTGGAACACGATGATTGCGATTCACTTGCAAAATGGATTCGCCGAAGAAGGTTTTGCTTACTTTAACATTAGCAGAAGGGTCGGGATCAAGTCTGATCAAGCCACTGTTTTGGCTGTTCTCAGTGTCTGTGAAGCCTTGGGCTTGTGGAGATTGGCGCAAGGCATTCACGGGTTTATCGTGTTTTGTGGGTTTGACACGAACAAACGTATAGGAACAGCATTATTACATGTGTACGCGAAGCTGGGAAGGTTGGAGGGTTCACAAACAATATTCCGAGTTATGGCTTCTCCAGATAGCGTGGCCTGGACAGCGATGCTTTCCGCGTATGCCACTCATGGACGTGGAAGAGACGCGATAAAGCATTTTGAGCTAATGGTTGAAAACGGTGGAAGGCCTGATCATGTTACCTTCACTCATTTGTTGAATGCTTGTAGTCACTCGGGTCTGGTTGAGGAGGGTAAGCAGTTTTTCACGACAATGTCCGAAGTTTATGGCGTTGAGCCGAGGTTGGATCACTACTCTTGCATGGTTGATCTTATGGGTCGCTCCGGCTTTCTGCAGGATGCTTATGAGTTGATCAAATGCATGCCGATGGAGCCGAATTCTGGGGTTTGGGGAGCTCTTCTTGGTGCTTGTAGGGTTTATGGAGATACTGAACTCGGAAAGGAAGCTGCTGAGAGATTGTTTGAATTAGAACCGTCTGATGCGAGAAACTACATCATGCTATCGAATATCTATTCAGCTTCTGGCATGTGGAAAGATTCTTCTAGAGTTAGGGCTTTGATGAAGCAGAAGGGTCTCAGAAGTGATTCAGGGTGCAGCTTCATTGAACATGGCAACATGATTCATCGTTTTGTTGTGGGCGACTGGTCTCATCCTGTCTCAAAGCAGATACACGAGAAGCTACAAGAGACGATGAAAAAGATTAAAGATGCGGGATTCAAGCCTAGAACAGAATTTGTACTACATGATGTAGATGACGAGATGAAAGAGGATATGATCAACCAGCACAGCGAGAAGCTAGCAATGGCATTCGGGCTCCTCGTGATCAGTCCAGCGATGCCGATAATCATCACGAAGAACCTGAGGATATGCGGAGACTGTCATAACACAGCGAAAGCAATATCTCTTGCCGAGAGTCGTACCATCGTCATCCGAGATTCAAAGCGGTTTCATCACTTCACTGATGGCTCATGTTCCTGCAAAGATTACTGGTAGTTCTCTGCATCACTCACGTGGACATTTCTCAGATTAGGTTCTCACTGTCAGTAACACAATCACAATAGCGGCGATTAGAATCTTAACGTATTATTGCGAGCGATTGCGTTTGTATCAATCACTTTTTCAATCGCCAAAAATCGCAATCGCCGTGTTTGCGGGCGATTGCGTGTTCACCGGTCATACCCTAAGTCTTCAATGCTCGTAGTATTTGATATCCGTACTGGTAGCTCGAGGATCTCGTATATCCGGCAAAATGTCTGGGTATTTATGAATACTGTAATTTGAAAATACTTAAAATATAATAACCAAATTTATATTAAAAAAACGCGTAATACTGAAAAAAAGGGTTTGGATAACTAAAATATTTTGATTTTTCTTCGTTATGGGCTTTCTTGATTTCTCAACAGGATTGAAATAAAATTGTTGTTATAGGCTTTTAATATAAGGCCAATAACATTCATGATCAACCCATTTATCGATTCTTTTTAAAATATATATATATATATATATGAGCCCTTGTTAGTGGTTGTCTCAATTGCGATCCCATAACATTTCTTGATCAGTCTATTTATCGATCCTTTCAATTTCTTAATAAGAATCCTTACCGTTACTCTATTGGGAAATCGGATTGCATTTTTGTCCCATATCATATCATATTGTCCGAATTAACATGAAAATAAAAGCTACTACAGTTTTTTTTTTTAATAATTATCGTTCGAACTTTTTTTTTTTCAATTTTTATGAAAATATAAAACTAATCATATATGTATATATATAGTTGAAATACAATTAATATTTATTATAAGTTTTGAAGAGAAAACTATATTCTCAACGATAGTTTATTGGAATTGGATAGTTTTAATTAAAGGTAAAACTGAAAATTATTTAAAAAATATCTAAAAAACCTAAAATGACATCTGTTTAGTAATAAAACTATTGCCTGGGTAGTCTCGGGGAAAGTCGGGATAGACTTAGGAGACGGGTAGACGTCGGGTGTAATCCTCGGGTTAGCTAGCGGGTATAGTCTTGGACTTTACTAGGAGGGTTAGTTGACGGTCTAGGGAGTCATACAACCGAGGATAGCGTTCGCCGGTCGGGCAACGCGGGATAGGACTTCAGTTCGAGTCTTATCGGGGTGAACGTTCTAACACGTTTACCGAGTGTTTCAGGTCTGGATGAGCTGTTCGGTGGCGGGATAAGGCCACGAGGCCACGAGGAGTCATCGACGGGAGCTTCATCAAGTTCAAAGGCAGCAACATGCGACTAACTCCGACATCAGGTAAGTGAGGTAAGTCAGGTAAGTATATGATTTAAATTCCGACGAAAGTCGAAGGATCGACGAAAGTCGATCGGTGCTGGAAACGGCGAACCCCACTAGATTCAATTTCTTTTTCGGTTTCTCTTTCTCCACCAAGGTGGAGATTGTTGGGCCTTAAGGCCCATTTGGTGAAAAAGAGAATCCTCCAAACCGAAGGGAGGTTTCGGTCACTTAATTGAAACGGAGCGTTTCAACATGTTAGGGTTTTCAACCCTAGTCTCTCGATACTTCGTCACTTTGAGCAGCAGAGAAGAAAAGAAGAGGAGAGAGGAGAAGAGGGCTTGCGGCGAGCGTACGGTGGAGCCGTTTCGGAGGTCCGTCATGGAGGCTCGGTGGTAGATCGGTAAGATCCCGGTACAGGTTTGCATCCCTCGGTGATTTCTCTTGTTCTTGTTTCGGTTCTTCTCGGTGAGGTTCCGGATCTGTAGAGATCCGCCGAGCTTCTGTTTTCCGCTGTTCTCTTTCCGTCTCTAGTGGATTCGCCGGCACCGTCCGGCCGAGATGTAGGCCCGAGCTCCGCTCGGTAACCGAACTCGTTAAAAGTCTCCGGTGTCTTTCGTTTCTTGCACGGACGTGAGTCGGAGAGAATGGTGAGGGTTCGGTACCACTTCACACCTATAATGTCAACTATTAAGAAAACGAGTGAACGATATTTTGAATAGTTCCAAGAAATGAGAGGTATAAATATATTTTTTCAATCTAGAATTTTGTTTTTCTCTAATTGCTTTACTATGTTGTGTATATATGGAGCATGTGTTGTAAATTAAATCACAGCATATACATACACATACATGCATAAACAAGCTCACGAGCCATCGTATTGGCATGTTGTGGTCGATGGTTAGGTGAATAAAATAACCGATTTATGGAATCTATATAGCACGAGAGTTTCTACAAGTAGGTAAATACACACACACACATATATATATATATATAATAGAATATTCTCTATGGTGTATAAGCAAATTGCAATTTAAGAGTACCATATGATGTAGACATACGCAAAGAGACATTGAATAGATTGAAAAGAATGAAGAAGACGTCACAACCAAGCTCACATACAAACACCCGGAGAAATAAAATGGGTGTCAATTTTGTAGATTCAATTATTGAATATTCTACATTTTAAAATATCACATGAGATTTAAATAAATACGGGAGTTTTAATTTTCTATTATCATTAAAAAAAAGCTTATTTGGACAAATCTACTATTCCCTCACAAAATATTAATGATTAGTTCCATTTGATTTTGTTATTTGAAAAAGAATATTATTTTGTATTAAATTAAATTATCTATATCTTTTAAATATTTATATGAATTATTTCAAATTTTTTATAAATATATGCAACATTGAATCAGAAAATTTCTAATAGTATTCTTCCCCTCCTCTATTTTATTTTGTATGTGATATATTCGAAATTAAAGCAAGTGAAAGTGGAATGTTTTTTAGATGGAATGTCTTTAGATCGATTAAATGTATAGACAGCCGACATGTTCATATAACGTATTGTCGTATTCGTATCGAATATGGCTGGTATCCCTAGTTAGGTGATCGAACATTTGAGTACATAGGATGTACAAAAAAAAAACGTGAGGTTTCACAAGTAGGTAATAGGGTCGCGAACCACTTTATCATGTTCCAAATAAATATTCATGACCGTAAATTCGTGATCCGAATCTAATACACATGATCATTTTTATTATTATCCACCGTGTCTCATGTTAATTAGTTTATTATCATTTCTACGATAACATTGTTCAAAATGATCATAGATTTTATTATATAGCGAATACGCAAATTAAATAACGAATAAAAAATATATTGGTCTAATAAAAATCATAAAAAAATGGGTATATTTTTATATCGCAGATCATTGTAAAACACCTAAATCAACAAATACTTTTTTAGAAAAAATTATTATCATCGCGTGCATAATTTTTGAGTTATTCCAATTCACTAGTGACGAGTTTATATGAACAAATAGTGATTGCGATTGCGATTGCGATGAGTCCCCAGAGTATAGAATCATACCATCTAAACAGTAACGTGTTGTTATTGTTATACATGCAAGAATTAGAAAAAAAACCAAGCCAAAACCGAAAAATTGCTCCTAAACCAAAGCCAGAAACCAAGAAAAAATTTAGAAATTAATTATACTCTTCATATTTCTATGAAAAATCAGAAATAATATTAATCCTTTCATCCATTCTACTAAGATAAATTAAATCACACATGAATAGAAATTATGTTATTTTCCATTGTAATTTTGTGTTTGCTAACTAAATAAAAAGTCTTGTTAATCGAAAATCACGACCACTTCCTATAATAAATACCGATAACTATGAGACATTTTGAAGCATTGATGAGTTTGAACCTAAACGTTTTCTTATTATCATATTCGGATGACATTATCTTTTTTGGAGTTTTTTTAATTAGTGATATGAGATTTTCTATTAAGTCAAAAAGTAGAAATTGAACAGAAAAAAATGAATATCATATACAGAATTACAAATGTTTTCCCGACACAAGAGCTTTTTTCCAATATTCTAAATTGAACTAATATAAATTAGAATATTATTTTTGAAAAAAGAATTAACAATATAATTTTCTCAAAAAAAGTTAAATACATTTTTTTAAATATTTTCTTCACCCAATTCATCCAAATTTGATTTACCAAATCTTTTAGATATTCCCATGGTTGGTAATCGAAATATATAATAAACCCTAAGTTCTCGCCAACGAAAAGTTCTTCAAAAATAATATAGTTTGAAATGAACTTTCTTCGAAATTATTAGATGAGCCCCACAAAAAAAATGTCTGCTTTTGATGCGATATATTATATAAGTACACTTTTCTTGATAACATAAAGCCATAAATTATAAGTTTCTTTTACAAAAATTAATTTCAAAGTTTTTACACGTGTGTTATATTCAATGTGTAAATTTTAATCAGTAGTAATTAGATAACGCTCAAATAATGCGATCAAAACGCTTATAAAAGCAATTAATACATCTATTTTCATATGATGAGAATAAAATGAGATATGTGTTCATAAAGAAATATATCATAATTTTTTTTTAACTAAAATATATCTAGAAATCGGAGTTACAATCACAAAATATAAGGTTAACTATTTATAGCGATTAGAACCGATTTTCTAATGAAACATTCAAAATAACATTTTTTTTTTGTAATTTTATATGTAACAAAAGAGAAGAAAATTTTAAAAATAAATTATAAAATTTAATATTTTCAGATAAATTAAAAAAAACAAGTAAATTGGTTGAATTAACGTTTTGATTTAAAAAATCAGCTATTTGTGATCACAAGAGTTATTTCTGTTTTAGCATTTGGATGAAACAAATTATAAAATAAATTAAATAAAATTCGGAAACTAGAACAAGTAGACCAGAGATGTTTATTCATATGATTCCCTTCGAAACCAAAATACAACGTTGAAGGAAAACCAAATATCTTTGGTTCCCTATTCACTAGAGATCCAAATAAAGCACAAGAAAACGTAAAAACACAACATAAGACACACACATATGCATGCATACATGTCTACTTTCGTATTTGATGCAAGAAAATAGGTTTCCATTTCATCAGTAAACCTTCTTGGCCACGAGCCTGAGGTGTACGGCCTTGTGCATGGCGACACCGGTCATGACGTCCATGTTGATGTCATCAGGTTTCATGCCCGGGGGGAGATTGAAATCGAACTTGTAGAGAAGGTTAGCGTACGGAAGCTCGAGCATCGCGACACCGAGACGCATTCCCGGGCACATCCTCCGACCAGATCCGAACGGGATAAGCTCGAAGTCGGTGCCTTTAAAGTCTATGTCCTTCTCGAAGAACCGTTCGGGCCTGAACTCGTCGGGGTTCGCGCCCCATGCCTTCTCGTCCCTCGAGACGCCCCACACGTTCACGTTCACCGTCGTCCCCGCGGGAATGTCGTAGCCCGCGACCTTCGTGTCTTCAATGGCCACGCGGTTGACCAGGAGTGGAATCACTGGCTCGATCCTTAGGGTTTCTTTCACCAGGGCTTTGAAGTAGGTTAGGTTTTGGAGGTCGTCTTCGGTTACATACCCTCTGTCTCCGACCAAGTTTCTTATCTCCGCTTGAGCTTTCTTCATCACTTCCGGGTACTTTTGAAGGTACGTCATCCCCCACACGACCGCTGCCGCAGCAGTGTCCGTTCCTGCGACCACTATGTCCTTTTCAGACCAAGAAACGTGTTAGTTCGGTGTCGGAAATCTCAATGTAAAACGAAAACTGCAACGATAACAGTGTTTAGACGTACCAAGATTATAGCTTTGACGTTCTCGAGAGTGAACTCCGTAGAGAAAGGCTGGTTTTTGTAGATATCCATCAAGAGATCGATCATACTCTCGGTTTCGGGTTTCACCCTGTTGGGGTCAAGTGCCTCGTCGATAAGTTCTTGTAAGTAGGTGTCTTGAAGTTCGAAAGCCTCTTTCATACGAGACGAGAGTCCCGCAATGTTGTCGAGGAACTTAAACCATGGGAAAATGTCCGAGTAGAACAACAATCCCCAAAGGGCTTGTGTCCCGTACAAGATCTTGATGAACCTCCTCATCTCGGCACCGTACTCGTTGTACCTTTTCCCGAACGCTTGTCTGCACACGGTCGAGTTCGTGTACGACAACATGAACTCGCTCAGATCGAACACTTCATTTTTCGCCGCGGCTTCTTCCACTTTGCTGATCATACGCCTCGTCTCCTCCTCCCTAAAGTTTCGGAAACTGGCCACGCGGTTCGGGGAGAACAGGTGGAGGATGCTCGTCTTACGCATCTCCCGGTAATAAGGAGTGTAGTGGTTGAAGACTAGGTCACGACGGTCGTACGTCATGAACTTTTGGCCACGGTGCTTGGGCCGGTTGGCGAAGTTAGCGTCTTGCGTCTTGAGGATCTCCTTGGCCAATTCCGCGGTGGAGACCACCATCATTCTCTGACAGCCGAGCTTGTAAGAAATGATGGGTCCGTATTTCTGGGAGAGGCCGTAGAGGAAACGTTGAGGGTTTTTCCTCGAGATTTGGTGGAGGTTTCCGATGATCGGAAGAGCCCGAGGCCCGGGAGGAACGTTGTATCGGTTCTTCCCGGGTTTTTGGGACAGGAAGAAGACGAGAACCGCGGCCAGGGCGAGGAATGTGAGTATGAGATCGTCCATTCTATGGGAATGGCTGCGATCTTGGAGAGAAGAGGTGCTTATGTGTGTTTAGTATGGCTCTTTGGTGAATACAGGAAAGGAAGTGGGGGAGTTTATATAGAGTTCAGTGTGGGACTAAATGACAACAGGGAATCAAAATAATTTCCAACTTATTTTTCTATATTATATTTTTAAAATTGCGTTTTTTTTTATAGAATGGATGGTATCCACAATTTGTTTTTTGAGGTGTCAATTATTTTTCTATTATTTAGCGAAATCAGAATTTATATGTGGACTTCACTGCGTCCCCAACGAATCCGATGGGAAAAAGTTCTTTTGTATGGACTGAATTATTATTGATAAAATTAAGTCAAGTACTCTATATTAAAAATAGTTCAAATACATAAATTAATCTACCGTAAATTATTGTTAAATTAAACTCTAATAGAAAGAGACGAATAACTTGTCAATTAAAATTACAAACATTTGAAAAACAAAGCTCATATTGGGACAAGCCCAAAAAAAAAATCTCGAACTTTATTACTTATTAAAATTAAATTTTAGATTAAAAATCATTATTTAAAACCTAAAATTATTTTCTAAGGTAAAGGTATATTAATTGATTAATAAAAAATTTAATTAGGAATTGTTAATTCAAATATGCCAAACTAGAATTTATATTAAATCATAAAAACCACATTGACATGTATTAAAAACAATTTAATTAGTTAGCTAATAATTCTTTAAAGATTGATTATCATGGAAGCATCTATAATTACGATTAAAAATATAATATATAACATAACATAAATAAAAAAACTATAAACAGAAAAAGGCAAAAACATACATTAAAAACACTAAAAAACACATAAACATTTTCTATTTTTCTTATATATTAAATCTTATTAGTTGCAATTAAAGAGATGCTTCTATCTCAACAAATCTTTAAAAAATTATTAGTTAGGCAATTAAATTTTTCTTAGTAAATGTCAAAGTAGTTTTTATGATTCAACATAAATTAATTATAGGTTGATAATTAATAATTCGAATTTATAGGTATTTAGTTTGTTTTTTTTCACGAAATTAAATTACTTTAAATTACGTCCGAAAAAGTACCTCCGAAAAATATGATGTAAAAGAAACTAAAGTAAATTTAGGGTGAATTTAAGGTTTTTAATTTCATAAGGAGGATAGTAGATTTTTAAGATTTCGAAATTAAATAAATGGAAAATTAATAAACTAAAAATTATTCCGTTTATGGTTATTTTGCTTAGTTTATGGTCTTTTTCTGCTTAATTTTTATAGTTTATAATTTTTAATTACGGAATTAAAAGTGTGATATTTAATTTTAGTAAGTTGTAAAGTTTGGGATTTTTTTTGTGTGTGTTTGACCCATAATATTATGCAATATTTAATTTTCACATTTCAAAAATTGATTTTTAAAAAGAAAGACAGAAATTTTTCAGAAATTCAGAAAATCACCGTAGAAGAGCATAATAGGTTTTGAGAAATAGGGATCCGTTTTTCGCCATTGAAGGCTGAAGATCTCGCATTGAAAGCCACAAAGATGAATATTTGAAGATCGAAAAAATATTTCGAAATTCAAAACCCAAAATCATGCGAAATTGAATCAAACCGAAAATGAAATAACAAACCCGGTTTTATTTACGGTATTTCGGCTTCATACATTCGATCTCGGGGTTTTTACGACCAATGATGAAGAATATCGGAAGCTTTCTTGCCTAAAAATGCCATTTTCGAATGAACCGGAAAAAAAAAAAACTGACTGCTTTTTTTCATTTGTTTGATGTTTGAATGAAAAAATTTATTGGGCCGAAGGCCCATCAGGTTGAGAATCAGTGGGCCGTATCGAAGCCCGTACCAGGAATTGAAGGCCCATTCTCGAAACACAGCAAAATTAGGGACCAGACCTATGATTCTCCAAGGGAAAACCCCAAATTTATGTATAGTAAAGTTATTAGTATATAACAAGCTTTGTACAATTAATGTATCATTTTAAAAAATGATTATTATGGAAAATATTTTTTATTTTAAAAGTAGAATAATTTTAAAAGGAATTTTTCGGGGAAAATTTACAAAACAAAAAATTGGTTTATGGATGTTAAACCTATTAGAATCGGTTATAAATTAGAAAATAATTTTCTTAAGTAGAATCGAAAATATAGAAAATTATATATATTTGAATAATGACAAATTAAAAAACAAATATTCTTGTGTGATTAATTTGAGGCGACACTTTGCCAAATTAAGATCTATAAGAAAATTAATTCATTAAGAGAATAAGGAAAAAGTCATGTTTGAAATTTCATCCGAAAAAATCGCCAACCCAAAAGAAAGGATTTTTTTTTGGTAGAAATTGACAATAAAGCTGAATATCATAATGTTAATATGTAGTTACTGAAATTTCGTTAGATTATATGCATATTTGTCCATTATTTGATTACTAATGTGGATATACTGTCTAGAAGTTGATTTTTTCGGTCCAAAGATAGAATGTATGTAATATATGGTATATCTCTCTTTCTATTCATATTATTCTTCCATTCGGATTTAATCTTTACTAAACTCACTCATGATAAGAAGTTTTAAGATTTGGAAAGAGAATATCATGATAGTTGCCGGTCTTGATTTGGTAAATATGCATCAGGGTGGTTCCATTTTATGATTATGACGATGGCAACGCAAAATTGTTCTTGAAAGTGATGACAAATAAGGGTTCTACATGCATATTTATATAATTATATATATAAGATTATTGAGCCTTTAGAAGGCCAACAATCCCAAATAAGCAAAAGGAAAACACCCGACAGATGTTGCTCCAAAATTGCGAGATACGCACACGTACACCAGATTTCGTACCTTATTATTAAAATGAAGATTATAAGACATGGCCAGAAACACAGAGTGGCCAAGTGGAAACAACACATTTCCCCCCGCACCGTTTTGTTATACAACCCATCTTTGCCTACCAAAAAAACAAAACCCATCCAAACCTCTACACGGCGGCGCGTGGAAGCACGCGCCTCCTCTTTCCC